CCGTGTTAGTTTTACGGAAACACATGACATGTATTTTGATCGAATTATCCGTCTTTCGGATATCTGCCAATTTCCAGCAACCCGGCAATCATCGTGACTGCCAAAATAGTCCGGATATTCTTTTTCGAACTGCAACATATGAAATTATTATCATGCATGATTAAGTCCTAGTTAAAAGAGTAATGCTCTAAATCACTGTTTCCTAGTTACTCATGCATGTAACTGCTTCCAAGTTAAAGAACCACAGACGGCATAAGACTTTTCAGTAGAGTTAGGACAAAATACCACACAATAGTGAAAGGACTATAGATTATATATGTATATCGTTTAATTTCAGTAATTTTAAAGGCAACGGACCTGTAAAACTTTTCCACTCTCTTCAATTCTCCTCACTACACTACTCACGCCCGTTTAACTCACAACGAGTGAAAAATGTCCATCGGTAAAAATGTTGTGAGCAACTTCCGTTCCTCGTTGTGAGCACCCGTCTATGACGAGTGACACGATAAACAAGGTGAGTTTTTCATAATTTTTGAAGATTACAGACATTTATGTAAAAATATCGGAATGCAGTTAGCTAGCGATGTGTTTTCCGAGTATGCACATGTAAAGATATTGCCTGTTGGTGGACAATTTGATGGAAATACCGTGCGACGCAGTCACTCGGGGTAGCTGGAATACTGGAGATAACTACTCTTTGGACCTAATTTAACATTGAAAACGTCGATTCTGGTGACATTTGTGCATTCTAACATAAAACAGATGCCCACAAGTCTTCTGCGTAAATTATTATCTGAAAGTCTTCGTAGAAACGAAGATATATTCTTTTTTGCTTTAATCCTCGTTGTGAGCACCATAACCTCGTTGTGAGCAAGACAAGCGCAGTGCTTGTCTGGTTTTAATATGTAATTCAAATGGCAAGAATACAATTCTCAATCTACCAAAAGCAATCAAAACGTTTTTGTACAATAGTTTTTCTTTGCAATAGTTCTTCTTTTACTTTTTTTGAAAATTATTCTTCATATTCACAAGTCATCATATTAACAGAAGAACTAATCAGTGGAGGTAAATCAGGTATTTTATTTCGTATACTCTAGTGTGGCACGAGTGAACATCATGGGATATTTATGAATATTTCAACAATTTCACAATCTGTGTGATACACACATACATGTGTTTATCCTGAGCTGAAGACTGACCAAGTTATGTAAAACAAGAACTATCACGGTAAGTTAACAATGCCCCTGAAGTGGTGCTTTGCCCTTTCATTTATGGACCAGATAGATTATTTGTTTATGGACAATTAGATTTTCAATGTGAAGGTAATTCAAGGTCAAGGTGAAATAAATATATGTCAGTGGGAAGGTCTTGTCCAAAGGGGCATTGTGTTCAAATATGAATTAATTCAACTTACTTATAAAGAAGTTATGACCAATGTTAAAGTTTTTGGATGTTCTAGAAGGTCATTCACGGTACAAGGTAAAATAAAATACAGATCAATTTGAAGGTCTTGCCTAAAGGGGTGTTGTTTCAAAATATGAGTAGAGTCCGTATACTAATAAGAAGTTATGACCAATTTTTAAGTTTTTGGACAATTTGACCTTCAAGGTGAAGGTCATTCAGGGGTCAAGGTCAAAAAAATATAGGATAGTTGAAAGGCCTTGTCCAAAGATGTGTTGTGCCTAAACATTATGCCAGGACATTATGGCCAATCTTAAATGTTTTTGGACAATTTGACCTTCAAGGTAAAGGCCATTCAGGGGTCAAGGTAAAAAAATACAGGTCCGTAGGAAGGTGCTAAGGGATTTTGTGTTCTAATATGAATCAAATCCGTTTACTTATAAGGAAGTTATGGCCAATGTTAAAGTTTTCGGACATATTGACGGACTGACAGACGGACAGTTCAAAACTAATATGCCTCCCTTTGGGGTATGCACAACGTCTTGCAAAGAAATGCTGCTGTGCAAAAACGTTTTAATTGCTGTGGTAGACTGAAAATTATATTTTCACCATCTGAATTACATATTAAAACCATACACGCACTGCGCTTGTCTTGCTCACAACGAGGTTATGGTGCTCACAACGAGGATTAAAGCAAAAAAGGGTATATCTTCGTTTGTATGAAGACTTTCAAATAATAATTTACGCTGAAGACTTGTGGGCATCTGTTTTAGGTTAGAATGCACAAAACGTCACCAGAATCGACGTTTTCAATGTTAAATTAGGTCCAAAGAGAAGTTGTCTCCAGTTTTCCAGCTACCCCGAGTGACAGCGTCGCACGGTATTTCCATCAAATCGTCCACCAACAGGCAATATCTTTACATGTGCATACTCGGAAAACACATCGCTAGCTAACTGCATTTCGATATTTTCACATAAATGTCTGTAGTCTTCAAAAATTATGAAAAACTCACCTTTTTTATCGTGTCACACGTCAAAGATGGGTGCTCACAACGAGGAACGGAAGTTGCTCACAACATTTTTACCGATGGACATTTTTCACTCGTTGTGAGTTAAACGGGCGTGCTACTCGCGCAGGTACGAATTAATAATCACCATCATCCCGATATGTTATATATTGTGTGAAATATTTGAAATCTTGTAAACACACTTTTATTTGTATCTGTTTAAATATAACTAACAAATACGAATTATAAGTATCATGTCAAATATAAATTTCCTTCAACATAGGCTGTTACTTTTATTAACAGTTATTTGATAACAATTATTGATTTATTTTATAAATAGGGGCCGACAAATAAAATGATAAAAACGTCAACTAAATAGCAACACATATAAGGGGGGTCAGTATACGTTTCCGTATATTTCAGTAAAATTCTTATGACATCAAACATTAATATAGATCATTTACTGGCATGGCCATTGGCAATGTCCCTTTCAAATAAAATAAACCAAGACTTATTCCATCTCAAGCAATGGTATGGACAAGGTTAACAGGTCGTTAGTAGGTACACACTGATCAATCCTATTACAGATTGGTCTCCACAAAAGGCCATAACTTAGTCAAAATTACTGTCTGATTTATGGACTTTGAATAGTTACATCCTTATATGATCTTTACAACATGTATCAAGTTAAAGTGAATTTCTTAAGTAGTTTACAAGATTTATGCTGCATGTACAATTTTAGCCAGAAATTTTCTAAGTTTAAGAACTTCATTTATATAGTGAACACTGATTGGTTAATTATCTCATTCCCACGACTTAATTATATCGTGTGCACGATTTATTAACTTGTGGCCACGACATAGTATCTCGTGCGTACGACTTTGTTACTCGTAGCTACAACATAGCATATCGTGCGCACGACTAAGTAACTCGTGTGCACGACAAAATATCTTGTGCTCGCAAAAATAGATAAACAAGAAAAGCATTGATGCAAAGCATCAAAGGGCGACGCCAAAATAATTTGATCCAGGTTTGCACCTAAATACTTAACAAAAGATGTGTACTTTATAACAGTACCATTACATGTGACCTGGAGGCTAGGCCCAGTTTAAGTTGAAACTAAAACCAAAAAGAATAGACTTGAAACTAAAACCAAAAAGAATAGACTCTGTCTTGCCAAGATGCAAAGACAATTTAAATCTTATAAGACTCATACTATAAGAAAGAATTTCTTCAGATTATTTTACCAGACACAAGGATTCCTTAGTCATCAGCATATATCAAAGGCACGAGTATCGGACCTTGGAAGAAAAAATATGACCAGATTGATAAAAAAAACTGTGTTCATAAAAACCAAAAAAAAAAAAAAAGAGTTTATAATGACCCCTTTAAAAATATACTATTAGCTTAAATTATATTTCTAAATGGGGTCATTATTTACATTTTATTTTGGTTTTTGACACTTTTAAGATGAACACAGGTTTTTTATCAATCTGGTCATATTTTTTCTTCTCAGGTCTGATATTCGTGCCTGTGAATATAATAAAAACTTATTGCTTAGGGTTGCAGTCATGTCATTGACATATATTAGACATAAAAAAGGACCTAAAATGAACATCAAGGGGACACCATAGGTACTCAGAGCAGTAGTTGAATGAGTACCAGCCACATCCACCAGCTGCTGTCTATCAGAGATAAGACTTAAACCATGTAAGAATGTCATTACATATGACAGATGCTTGAAGTTTCATGAAGAAGAAAAAAAGGAACTTCTTCATGTGCAGTATAGTGTGATCAACTGTATCGAATGCCCTTTGTAGATCTAAAAGTATCATGAAATACTGTCTTTATCCATTTCAAATTTAATGCAATCTGTTAAATGAATCAAACATGTGTCAGTTGAAAAAAACACTTCTAAACCCTTACTGAAACTGCCTGACCATGACTGGAACCCATGACTTTCAGAAGACCAACTGAGCTATCCGGCCGGCTACACATTTTCTCTTTGATAATGAAACAGTTCTAAACCACAACATATTTCCCAACTATATTGATTTGTGTCCTTGAATTTCTAATGTTTACAGAGCATAGTGAATTGAACTCATGCTTATACAAACTGTATGCAGTCACAGGATGAAAAAAACTTTGAGCTTGACCAGAACTCGAACATGTGACCCACAGAATAATGTACCGCAGCTGTAGCGATTAAGCTATCTGGCCGCTTACACATTTTCTCCCCTATAGTGAACAGTTCTAAACCGTGACAGATACTTTTTTTTAGATTTTTAAATTAACAGATAATTTATTCTTAATTAATAAATAAAAAAATACATACTCATAGTCTTATTTAAAATATAAACAATTTATAAATTATTGTATAATTATTTTTTATTAAAAAGGGCTTAGACAGTTATTGGTTGAGCCATTATTTATAACCCCTGCAAACAGATGACGTTAAAATAACGTCGGATTAATGTTAGATTTTGGTCACGACGTCGGCGACCAAAATTCGACGTAAATCTGACGTTAAAATACCGATGTCTAATAGACGTTTCTTTTTGACGTCGTACTAACGTCAGGTTATGGTCGGTGTCCTTACGGTAGGTAAAAAAATTACAAAAAATAATCCTTATTCGCTGTTGTAATCATTTAAACTTTTTTTCAAATGTTATTTGGATTACAAATGAAGTGTTCTTATATAAATACAGACCAAGATCGCGGCGCTGCAACCTAATAAAACATAAAGGTGGCGCTGTATATACGCAAGTTACATGTGATATTGTTATGGAATATATTTATAGCTACAGATCTGTTTACAAGTTCCAATCATTTAACGTTGTAATATTATCATTTGTGGTACATTATATGTATCAAAATGACGTGTTCTTAATAGTGCTTTAACATTTAATCATAGTGACAGAAAAGGGAAAGAAAACATAATTAACCTTTAATTCGAATTTAAAGTCACGTGGATGGAAATTCAAATTCGTAGGCGTTACGTTTTGGCTGTCGGTCAGGAATCGGGATGCATTGATAAGTGAATATTATAGGTTTTCTTGAACAAAAAGGTCAGTTCAATTTATTTAGATTTATTTCTACTTTGTTTTTGATAAATAATTGCATGATTGCAAGCACTCTTTAATTTTATTATCATTATTTGAACAGCTGAAGTAAAATGTCACACAAATTCGCGATAATGTCTAATAATAAATCTTTTTTAAATTGACATGTTTTAACTCTGCTTGTGAAGAGTTTATAATATGCCTTTCAGTACTACCAAAGAGAATGCTTAGTTTTCATATTTTTCTTAAACTGTGATGTTTTTGTCAGTTAAAATCTGACCATTCATTTAAGAATGAATTTGTACGATTTCGAGCATTTCGGACCAAGACGTTTCGGTCCCAAATAACCCAAAACGTTTTGGTTCCAGACTATCGGCATTAAATCTTTAATTTAAAACTATGAAATATTTTAGACTTGCGTAACTGTTCTATTTCAAACGTAGAATATATACATAAGTTAGAATATAATTTTCTTTTCAGGTAGTTTAAGTGTTGGACATGCTCTCAAAGGTCGGAGGGACGGAAACACATGAATATGTAAAAAGAAACATATGAAAGTAAGATTTTTGTAAATTTTATTACATACTTTAATCCATACTAAACTGGAGTTTAAAAGTGGCTTTTTAAATGTTCAGTATTTATGTTTACTTTTAATTTTTTTAAAGCTCTCTTATAAAAAGTTGGCAAAATTGTTCATTAAGTTAATATATAACCATGAAACAGTTTTGCTTGTTATTTTTATATGTTTCATAAATTTATTTTTATTTTCAGTGAAAATGATGTCACACACGCTATTGGGCGCTACATATCCTCCGGACAGACGAGGGGTGCTGAAAGAAGGTCATATCTTAAAGCATCACACCTCAAAATTCGTGCTAATTCTCATGGATATCTAAAAGTATAACTTTGTGTGAAGTAACTAAAAGACGGCAATTTATACATTACTGACAATTATCAAAGGAGGTCAAAATATGCAAAATGGCACTAAATGTTTTAGAAATGCTGTAGAAATATAGTTAAAGTACTGAAAATCTGTCATTAATTGCTTGAAACATTATTATTAGAATCTTTTAACTTTTCTTAAAATTATAATATTTTCATTGTTTTACTTGATAAGGCAAACTTTGATAGAAATGTGCATACATTGTTTTGTTTTAAATATTTGTACATGTTTTCTAAGTTTCATTTATGTCATTGTTTTTGTAATACTTTTTGTTTTGTATTTAACTTATTTTATGTTTTATTTTGTTTAATTTATGAAAATTATTTAACCTTGTAGAATTTACTAAAATTGTATGTATCAGCTTAAAATTGCAACTTTTATCTTAAATTAAAAAAACATGACACATATTTTTGCTTTTAGTTTTCTGTTATACATTTCATTTGAGGGAAAGTTACTTAATAGAATGAGTTACATTAAATTAGATCAAATCAGGATTAGCCAGAAAATATTTATGACGTGGTGAAACAAAAAGGATTAGGGGGATGATAAGATGAAGGTCAGAAAATGATCAGATTTAGGGCAGAAAAGGGTAAATATTTAGGTCGGAAAATGGTCAGATTGAGGTCGGAAAATGGTCAGATTGAGGTCGGAAAATGGTTAGATAATGGTCAGATTTTGGTCATAAAAAGGTTAAATAATGGTTAGATTCTGACGTCTACCTGACGTCAGATTATTACGTCAAAAAAACTTTCAAATCCAACCGTTTTTCCGACCGTCATCTGAAGTCAGAACCTGACTTAAATCTGACGTCAGTATGACGTCTTGTGTTTGCTTAACAGGTCAATTTGAAAGTGAACATAACTGTGCTTATGTAACAGGATGGATAATTTGAGTGTCTTGATACATTTTTGGTTGTTTGAGTTGTTTCCCTTGGTTTCCCGCAAATTTTGATCATGTGACTAGTTTTGTCATTGTTGAAGCGGCTTTGTAAAATTTAAGTTCAGACATTTTCTTGGTGTTTTAAATTTATTTAAAATTTGGATTATTGATAGTTGGTCAGTATGAGTTTGAGTTATATTTGGTTATTATCAGTGTTTTAAAGAGTGTATATCATAGATTTGTTTTTAATTAAGTAATGATTGTGGTCTTATTTGAAATATCATTAGTTTTCGTGATTTGAGAATTGTTTCAGAAAAAGCAGTAAATCTATCCTTCTATTAACTTAATATCACATTTCATTCCCATCACTTTGCACATTTTGTTTATTATAATTTGCAGAAATTACAGCACAGAGAGTTTGGAAGTATGTGTGTTTTGAAGAAGATGATGTAATATGATATAATTGTACATTCAGTTCCATAAACTGGTAAGTTTGGATATTCTCTATGATTGTTATGTATTTTATGATAATTTCATTAAATGGAATATTTATGTTAATGACAGCCAATAGAAAGCATATAACTATATTATATGTTAATGTACCTATGAGTAATTACATGTAATGTGTTGCAAATATCTATTTGTAATTGATCAACTAGATAAGGATGTTTTTATAATTGATAATTATGCTTTTCAGATATAGGAACTGGATTTTACTTTATTTTTATGTTGATATAATTTGTTTACTTTCAGAGTGTTGATCGATTCGATTGATTGAGATTTATTGAAGGTTTATTGACGATTCATTGACGATTGATTTTGTCGATATTTGGATATGTAAGATTGATATACATGTATGTGTCAGAACTAGAAGATAAATAAATACATTAGAACTGTGCACAGTTATTTGTTTGGAAAGACATCTTTGATCCATATTTAGACGCCGCAGCGATATAAGAATAGAACCCAATTTCTTGGTTATTACAACCTTTCAATTTCAACCAAGTTACACTTATACATGTACAATTTCTATTTTTTGCACAGATAAAAAACTAACCTTTTTTTCAATGATAAGAAGTTTTATGGAGGCTGATTTATATTTTGCATCAAGGGCACCGGGCGAAAACATGAAAATGTAACAAACGAACCGCTTTGTAGTATATTGTATTTTCATGTTTTCATCTGGCGCACGGTTACTTTTTTGTACTATGTTGGTTTTCATGTGGCACAAATCACCTACTATAAATTTAGTACACAAATTTATTCAAGGGCAAGTAACAATCTACTCTATGTAAAGTATGTTGTCGAGTTGACTCAGGAGACCTGGAGGTTGAGACCGGTGTCCCTCCATTACAAATACATGTAGATGTAGATCAGGTTAAATTAAGCCAAGTTCTCTTTTTATAATAAATACGGTAGTTATTTCCCTTAAAGGCCAAACCAAATCTTTTGTGGTGTTATGTGTTCATGTTTGTCTTTGTTCCTTTTGTTATGGGTGATTGAACTGGTTTTGCAAGTTGAGTGATGTATGATTGGTTTTGGTATGCAAGTTATTTTTAGATGATTTGGTTCTGGGATAGCTAATATTTCCTGGTAACTGACCACTCCTTTCATTGCATTCAAGGCAATAACATCTCTGACTTTCTAAAGATATATCATTTCTTTATAGAAATATTGATAAATTTATTATTATTTACACAATTATTATTTTGAAGACCTCATCTATTTAAAGCCTGGTTTCTTCTACACCTGAATAAATAAGTAAACATCACACACTGTTGTTTTACTAAGAACCCCACCACTACATAGATAAGACAGAAGCTGTCCTTTTCAAACTATACAAATGTTAGAAAAAAAAATTATAATAACTTTTCAGAATATGATTTTTTGAGACTTTATTAATTATATTGCTTGATGAAAGTTTAAGGGCATTTTCAATCAATACATGTATTATCATTTATAACTTTAAATGAAAGTTTCATCCCTTTAATAATAATGACATAACTGTAACTCTTTAAATTCAAAAATATTATAAGTCTCATCCTATCAATATACTAAGATATACATGTATGCACATAACATTAATAATTCCCAGTTTCTATTAAATAAATATAAAATCCTAACATTAACATGCTTTTGATGACCTTACAACTGGTACAATTTATACAACAAAAATAGTATTATTAGTAATACCTAAGATAGACAGAAAAGAATAAATAATTTAGTAAACATGAGTTACATCCCCTTAAAATACAGAAAACCTGAAACCCAAAAGAACACCATAAACAGCAAAATTATGAAATGTTGCAGGCTCAGTTTTATTAAGCCATGCAAATCAATGGTAAAGTATTCATAAAAAAAGATGGCCATGTGACAGCAGTAATTGCAGAAAATCGGATAGCTTTCAACATCCGGATACTGGTACACTTGGTAAAAACAACCATTCTGTTCAACAGATGAACGTAATAAGGATAAAATCAATAGGATAATCGTTTACAACAGTTCCATTACCTAGCCTTATACTCATTTGCAGGTGAACTTTCTTCTTGTAGGAAAATTTTGAAAATATATAAATAAATGAATGAATGAATGAATGGATACGGCATCAATGTAAACCACAACGATATTCGAAATCCGGGTTTTAGTATTGTCAATAAAACTAAAGGACAAGCTGTTAAACTTAACCTGCAATTACGTGAAAATGATATCACAATGCACGTGCTTTTTACATATAGTTATTAAATACAAATATAACAACATGTTTGTTTACTTGATTTTTACGAATCAAGTAAAACTAATTAAAACATGTGACTTATGTGTCACCGTATTTCTGCCTATATTGACAGCATTTATAAACTAAGGCATTTAAATTATTTTATTTTTATTTTTTAAGTTAATAAAGCAGTGTTATTTTATGAAAACAATTGCATTTATTTACAATTCAGAACACGATGAATATAATAAAAAAAACTGAGCTTTTTATTTTTGACATATCTAAAGAAGATTGTATTACAACTTTCAAGAATATACTAAATAATCCCTCTTGAAATGTTATAATATTCATTATTATTTAACATATTTTTTTCAGCTTTGAATCGGAGCTTATAAGACATGCCAGTGCTTTAAGTTGGAAATATAAAAGTTCACAAGCAATGGCTTCATATAGCCCTAAACTGTTAGAAAAGAAATACAATAACTGGGTTAAAGCTCAGTTAGCTGTGTTGTTTACTAAAGAAGGAGTTGAACCTTTTGTTTGTAATGAAATGCAACAATTTCAATTGAAATGTCTGCATGATATATGCTACTTAAATGGCTTATTTAGTGGGACTTGTTGTTCAAGTTGCTGCACGGAAAATGTTGTTCATTGCCGTACTGACAAAATTTGTAAAGTTAACCATGGGAAATGTACGTATCATCGAAATGTTGCAACACGGTACAATTCTTCTGGCTGTCCTAACAAGATATGCCATAACTTCAAAACTGAAATACAAAATGCACATAGGTACAACGGCCCGTCGTACAAAAACAGTGATGCTACCCAGTGGTGCAGTAATTTCTGGGAAGTAGCAAAGTGCTTCATGCCTCCAGATGGATACAAAGAAAAGACATCTGCATCAGAAACAGACTTCAATGGTATAATCAGCGTTATCCTTAATCACAAAGAGTTCCAGCGGAAAGTACATGAAAACCTCAGTAATAAGATAAATATATTTGAAGAGGTAAACAATATTCCGATACTAATTATGAAGACTAATGTTAAGCACTTTGAAATAAAACAATCGTTAATATATTTGTTTGAACTAAGGAATTTAACACTACAGTATGATATCTATAATAAACTAAGATTTTATCATGCTTTCTGGGAATCATTTAGTACCTTAGTAAGGATTGAATTTTAATTATTAATTAACAGTTTGCTAGTTTACAGAAAATTTCATTACTTACGTAGTAAAAAGCTAAATATTAGCTAAAAATATTATAGTTCTTTTAACTTTGAAAACGAATGTTTCTTAAATGACTGTATGACACAAATAATTATATTTCATTAAAAGCTAATGTAAACACTAATTCATTGCTGCACATTTTATCATTTGATATAGCTTCTTAAATTACTCTTTAAATCTTTTAGATAAAAATTATATGATAACCCTTATTCTATTTTGATCAGGCGAGAGTAATTGGAAGAAATATGAGACATTCATCAAAACTTGAAGTAGAAGATTCAGATCTCCAGAATTACTTTCAATTATTACAGAATCTACTTTCTGACCCCGTGTATTTAGGTACAAACACGCATGCGCAGAATGCTAAGCAGAAACTTATACAGGTAATTCATTTGAATACGTTACACATTTCGACGTATGACTAGAACACAGTGCTTTCGTGTTTAATCTACGTAAAATGAGTTAAAGTCTAATTGAATATTTTTTATAGAATTTTATAGAATTTTGAACAAATCATGTTGTTTCATTGATGGAAAAATACTGTTTCCGTTAAGTTATGGTCTATTCTCAAGATCATTGTAACATAGAAACATTCTTATTTAATGATCAAGAATTCAGCATGCAATTTACAAATTAGTGATGACAAACATTGCACACGTACTTGTTACAAATAAATACTATAGATTAATTATATCTTTGAAATGTACACTTTATGATTAAAAGATATTAAATTCTGAATGATGTACTTGTATATTTATTGATATTGTATATTTTATGGTATTAATAATTACAGTTAGAAAATGACACTCTTGTCATTGGTAAAGATGATATAAGAAAAGTACTAGACGATGTGGCAATAGTAATTCAAGACAAGATAAAGGCTGGATTAGATGATCAATATGACAAAATTAAACTAGAAATGATTAGAAAAGAACAAGAAGATCTTCTATCTCTTGAGTCTAAAACTGCCGTGGGAATGACAAAAATACAAGATAAAACTGATGCTTTAGTGAAACGATTAAATGAACAAGGTGCTAAAGAACGGACGGGCCTAACTGAATTGGGAGAGACGTTACAAAAAGAACTGAAGACAGCAAGTAAAGCCGAGAAAGAAGAACAGTATATTGATTCTAAACAACGTAAGTGATATAACATTTATTTTTGTTTATCATATGACATCATGGTTTCCATGTGATATAACTATAACGAATTCCTTTGTACTTAACACCTGATAAAATATAACCATTGAATATCATTGAATATCACCACAAGTCATGATGTTCTAAAATCATCCATTCATTATTCTTGAGTCCAAAAAATTGTATCAAATGCATACTGCACTCCATTTAGCCTCGCGTTTATTTTTCAAGCCCAAATCGAAGCCATATCAAATCCATGATGTACACCTTCAAGTATCGTTTTCATTTTCCGAGTCCAAAATGTCCATATCAAAAACATTCTGCACTCGAAGTGATCGAATGTGTGATATACATTTTTCTTATACTTAGACACCAGAATTGTTGATCTTAGGTGCCATCTTGATTTAATGTATTTTAATGTAAAACTTAAGAGTTCGTTATAAAGTGTTGAGTACCATACTTATTCTAGCCAATATAATTATATTTATTTATGTAGATATTTTCAGGTAAAATATTTAATTAAGTATTCTTTTGTGCGACTATAATGCCAATAACTTAGATATTTGACATTTAGCAGTCCTTGGCGGATATATGTTATCCAAATCATGCCCTCTTAGGTCAAAAATGGCCTACCCTTATGGCTGCTTGGTTTATATACTTGAATTGTAAATCTTCTTCTTTGAAAGTACAATGCCAAGGGTTTAAATATTTTCTAAATAGTATCATCATGTGATGCACTACAAATTTTTATATAAACAAACCCTGTTCGTGCTGTCATGGAAAGGGCACCGGGTATAATTGGGAAAAAAAAATTC